TTATGAGAACCCCCCTCCTCACCTCCTGCTATCAACACAGCTGCAGGTATTTTTTTATTTCCATTTGCTGCAGTTCTGCTTCTCCCTTGTATAGCAAGACCAGACACTCCTAAAAACTTCACCTGAGTATAAGGTCCTATTTATACAGATCACAGAGGCAGTCTGTGGATAGCTAGCTTATTCTTGTGAAATTGGGTGGTCTTTCCTTTGCACTCTGATTCTCCAAAGTCAGAGAAGATGCCTGAGCAGCTGAAAATCGGTTATTTAACCCAAGTCAAGATTCAACAAGATAATTTGGGAATTCTCCCTTCCACACCACTTATTTCACTGGGAGTGAGAGCCAGTGACTGAATTTCAAAGCCATCTGCAGCAGCCAGTTATATTCATCTACCAGTTTTAAAGTCTTGAATGAAAAAAAAAATGGAAGAAAAAGAAAGGAAATAATTTTAGCCTAAACCACAAAGAAAAAGCAAATAAGGTCATTACTTTTTTTTTTTTTTTCCTCCTTTCAGAATCAAATGCATTCATTTTGCTTTTATACAGGAAGTAGCAGTGTTCAGTACGAATTGATTTGAGGTGGCTGCTAGGAGGGAAGGCTCTCAAACTTAGTTGTTTCCCACCATTTTTCCCCCATTATGCACTTTAATCCCCTGCCACAAAGAGTTTTAATAGTGATGGGGCTGCAGTGCTAATATTGATAACTATATAGTGCTGTGCCTATTTGTCAGTTTAACGATTATGTACATGAGAAAAATTGTTGCCTTCCTTCAGAGCCTGATGAGCTCTTCAACACGTTATTACCAGAATAAATGTGAAAAGTAAAGTAAGAATTTTCAGTGGAGGGAGTAATTAAACAACCTCACCACTGAATTTTAATTAGTGGTACAAGGACTATTTCATTGCTCAGCTCTAAATGTGCTTCCTGATGAGGGCATAATATCTAAATAGATCTTGCATAATGCTCCTTCTGGAAGACAGGGAAAGAGTTCAAGTTTGAAGTGCAAGGACTGTTCCCTCCAAGTCAAAGCCTGCTCAAGAGCTGCAGCAGTAACATCATCAGGGCATATGAGTTTGTAGTTTTGTTTTGTTTTTAAAAAAACACTACAGAAGGGAGTGATGTGGTTGAATTTACCTCTGGGAAGGGTCAAACAAGTAGGACACCCTCAACAACTTAGAAGAAACAGAAACTGCAGCTCAGGTCCAGGTCAAAATTTTGGTATGTGCTGCTGAATCCTTAAACAGACATACAAAAAGGAGTGATCCGGAGGAATGCCAAACTGACAGCAACATTAAAGAGCAATTCAGGAACATACAACGTTTTGCAGCAATTTGCAGGAGATGCTCCAGATATTTAAAATCCAAAGACAGAAGAAAGTTTGAATAAATTAAGAAAAAAGAAAAAAGAAAAAAGAAAAGAGAAAAAAGAAAAAAGAAAAAAGAAAAAAGAAAAAAGAAAAAAGAAAAAAGAAAAAAGAAAAAAGAAAAAAGAAAAAAGAAAAAAAAGACAGTATGGAAGAAGAAATAGAGATAATTTAGATAGACGTGATAAATATGTCTAAGATATAGATATTTAAATATTGGTCATTATTAGTGGGACAATTTAAATCATGAACTGACAGTCCATCACTTAAATTTTCAAAAATCTTTATCTTCGAAGATTAGGGAAGAACCATAGGTTTACTAAAGAAAAGATAAATAAGAAGCATGATACACACAGGGTGAGACAAAATCCTCTGAAGGCTGGATAGCTCAAACATTTTTTTATTTTGTTGTCAAAAGAAAGAAAAGTTGACTGTCAGACTGGTTACTATAGCCCAGTGGTTCCCAAAATTTTTGCCTTACAAATCACTGCTAACCTTCAAGATTTCTCGCAAAGCACCATATCCCTGCTTTAATCACTCTTATTTAAATTACCCTCATAGTTATATACCTAAAGTGTGCATTTACCATGCACTCAAATATCCCCAAGGCCTGAGCACCATGCCTAGCAACTACTACTCCTGTTTTCTTTTCCTGTGTTGACCTGATATCCTACTGATTTCTAATAGCACTGTATCTTTTGTTATGAGGAGAACACTTTCAGTGTAGAATAAATTTACTTAAAATACTTGCTTAAATTCAAAATGCTCTTTCATAGTCTTCCGTTCATCTGATCAGTATTTGTATGTGATTATAAGTTTATATGTTTGTATGCACATGTATGAGAGCAAATGCATATTATGCAGCAGTACAGATACAAGACCACAGGCTACAGCATTAATATGCAAAAGCCATTAAGTTCCTGAACACAGTACTCTGATGAAACCCTTAATAGGATGTAGACTGCTGAATTAATAACATTCATCGTGATTATAGTGAGGTGCCAAGACTAATTGGAAAAGGTGTTTGATCATAAAAATAACTATCAGGGATTTTTTTCCCCAATTTTTTTCCATAATGAATTTAAATGTGCAATGAATAGAGAGGGAAAGCAGAGGAGGTTAGAAAAATTATGGCTGGTATTGTGTGTGTTAGAAATACAAGTTAAATTAATTGCACATTTAGTTCAACAATCTTTCATGTTTTGTCAAATTTCAGTTTTTAAAACTCCAGTCTAGGTCAATCTTTGTGTAAGAACAATTCTTTTAATAGAGTTACATACCTGAGCAAAACTACTCAGAAATGTTTCCCATCTACAGATGATATACATGTAGGGAAAAATAATAATAATAATAATAATAAAATTAAACTTTACTTGGGAGTAATTTCTCTATTTGCCCCACTTCTTAATAGTTTGCACTTTACCTGCATGCCTTTGGAAGCATTAGCACTAACAGATTATCATGTTGTTTAAAGAGCTGGCAATTTGAAACTTATTCCTGATTTTACACATCTTAAGACTGATAGTATGAAAAAATAAAGACCAGAGTATAACAATGATGGGCTATTTTTAGTTCAAATAATTTATATCTTAACTCACAATTAATTTATCCTAAATATGAGACATTAAATTTAAATAGAAATGTAAATAGATGAAACTTTATTTTTTTAATTTCCATAGTTTTCTCTCTTTCTCTTTCTCTCTCTCTCTCTCTTTTTTTTTTTTTTTTTTTTATGGCAGAAATTAGTTCAAATTGTCTTTTCCTAGAGAACATTTTTCAGGAACAGATCTTGAAACTAATTATGGTGGAGAGGGAAAAATCCTTGTGGACTTAATTACTTGCTATATATGAACAACAGTTGCAAACGGGATCAGTAGTCTTCCTCATCTGGTAGCTAAACTTAAGTACTTCGTAAAGGTACCTTTTACAGAAATATCTATGGAGTTAACAAAACATTTTTCCTAACCTGCGCTGAGTAAAAGATTAGTCCTGAAAACTAAAGATGCGATCATTTTAAGAGAGATGTGTCTACAATGAAACTGGTTCACATGATTCATATAAAAGCTTCCCTTCAAGATGGCGTTCCATAAGTTCGTTATGCAATACTTAATGCAATAAAACAAAACAGAAGACACACATTTCCTTTAGTCAGCTTTAATATGCTTCTGGAGAGCTTAATTATAGCTTGATTATATAATACAAGAAAATGGAAACAGGAGCAACTGGGCAACCTTTCCTTAGATATCTGTCATCCTCTCTCAATTTTTCCTTTCATCTTCACTTCTCCAGTGCTTTCAGTCTCCTTTTTTACTGGATCTTTCTAATATTTCCTATCCTTTTTGCTTCCCTATTCTCACCCCCCTTCCACTGCAATAGCTTTCAGAGAGCAACTGGAAATGCTAGGGCAATATGCTCAGGCAGAGGTCTTTTCCAGTCCATTTTATGTTGCTGACCTATGGCAGCCTCTAGTACATGGGGTGCCTCTTCTCCACAGATGGACCATATATGCAGGAGGAAGCAAATCAAAGACTCAATTCCCTTTGAACTGCATCATGGCTGTCTCAAGCAGTCCAGCTTCACTAGCGTGGGAGCATTTGTTTGGTAATACAGACCAGGATCAGAATGTCAAATGACGGGTCACAATGTTATGTTTGCCTGCTTATATTCCTTTCCTTAGATGACTCAGAGACCTTTAGGTATGTAGGTATTTGAAAATAAGACACAGAGACTCTACACCTCATGAAATTAGAGGTGGGAGAAAAGAGGGCAGCTCATGAAGAAATCAGAGATGAAGCTCCAAAATGGAAGGAAACTAGGTTAGAACTTTTATTGCATGACAGACCCTTACCATCATTCTTTGCTGATGAAATAAAGGGTGATATTTTTCTTCATTTGCTTTGTGAGATGACTCTTTTTAAGTACTAATTTCTTGAGTTGAATGTATTAAAACATATATTCAACTATGTACACACACACACACACTGCTGAGTCAAAGCTGAGGTCTCCTTACATCAACTTGTGTCTGCAGACTAGATCAAGCAAGATCTTGTGATATTCTCTTCAAACACAACAAGATCACAATTTGAGGCTGGCCAGTTTCAGGAAACATCCTCTAGGTGTGGTAAAGATTAGTTGTCTTCACCTGAAGCTTAACAGTATCAGAAGCAATTTCTAAAAATATCATAAAAGTCGCTAAAAATTGTATGGTGTAATGTTGAAGAGATTCAGGCAGATCACTCTACTACCTTTGGTACAGAGAGCCTGGGTAGAAATATTATTTAAGTTCTATGCTATTTGGAGACTAAATGAAAATTACTACTTAAGAATTACAAAGCATACACTTCTTAAAAAGGAATTGAAAAAATGTGATTTTCACCTATACTTTTGGAATATTTAATTGTTTTTTTTTCCATGTTTGTACCAGAATGACTAGATTTTCTTTTTTAGTGACTGAAATTCTTCATTTCAAATTTAAATGGGCTATTGATTTATAATTAATCAGACAATTTGTATTTTTAATAATCAAAACTATATCATAAGACAACAACAACAAAAAAATTAACCTTACCAGGAAGAGGAAAGAGGAGAGAGAAGAGGAGAAACAAACAAACAAACAAAACAACAACAAAAAAAAATCACCTCTGTTTCTTCATATATATCTTCATACATTTCTTCATACATTGAGTGATACAATAGCTTTGTCTTGTTCAGTTCAGTACTAAAAGAAATTTGGAAAATTTGAATTAGCTACAGTGGAAAATCCAAGTTTAAAAAATAACCAGGCTCAGCATGTTTTAAATCATCTTATACTGAAGACCAGTGCACTTTAAATAGGGAATTTCAGAGATAAAATTGGTTCAACTTCATTACATTATATTTTCATGCAAATACGTGCAACGTTGCTTTTCTGATTCATTTATAAACATTGCACATTAGGCAGAAACAGAAGTCATCAGTCATTGTTCAATAGAAAGATGATATATCAAAACAAGAGCATCAAGAACACAAGAAAAAAGAAATTGGTGCTTTTGAATCAGACATTTCAATATAAAATACATGAGGCTATTTCAATGTTCTCTTAATTTAAAAAAAAAAAAAAAAAAAGGCAATGTCCCCAGGGGAAAGACATACTTGCTAAGCCTAAAGAATTCCTTAGGCTTCTCAGACATTTATTGCACATTCTAACAAGGATTATTTTACAAGACTGTCAGTCTCTCATACACCTTTGTCTGTATTCCTGCTACAGCAGAATCCATGGAAATTCCAAGAAGATGGAAAAGGAAAGTCTCCATAGATATTCAATGAATGACATCAAATAAGGACACCAAACTTGTTTTGAGAATAAGAAAAATGAAAAATGAAAATATCGCTGTAGGTCTGCTACCCGTAGGATGCTTTAGGGGATATTACTAAGACAATACGCAGTGCTCACATAATGGCAATAGTTCACTGGGCAAAGAACAAACAAGCAACCTCTTAATGAATGGCTCTCAAAATAAAGCATGCAATTAAAAGATGCATATTTTAGCTCCTTCTAGGATATTCCTTTAAGATGGAAGACATGGTATACCATGGCAAAGGAAAGCATAGGAGAATGCAGATATTTAGATACACTGAACCAACATGAAATTAAAACTTAGGGCCAAGAGAAGAGATATTCAGGTCAGTGAAGAAGCAGAATTCCATTTCTCACATGAGTTTAACACAGGCAACTTCTATTAAAAGTCAGCAATGAAAGTACTAATGCCCCCTCAACTTCAGTCCTAAAAAAATGTCTCTATCACTGGAATTTCAATCTGTGTATTTACATACTCTATTCTCCACCCCCTCCTACCTCTTTAGGAGAAGTTTTTCATTCACTTTAGTAGTATTAGACCATTCCATGTATAAGCACATATTTTTATTTATAAATAAGCATGTCTATAAGTAAAGCCAGTTAATTAATTTAATTCTGCATAGGAAGATAAACTGTTCATTAGGTTAATGTTGTACCACAGCCTCTAGAGCTAAGGTAGAAAAAGGGAACTTTCATAGCAAGGAGTAGTATGAGTAAAGAGACTGGTTGCTCTAAAGAAGTGTTGGTAAAATGTTGGTAAATAGTAGATTTTTATGTTTTAGTAAAGAATGTAAACATATTGGGTGAAGCTTATAATGAATGTGAAATTATTGAAAATTTAATCCATGGAATCCTATTGTAATCATAAGGGCTGAAAGCATAACAAAACAAAACAAGACTTTTAAAAAGAGAGAGAAAAATGCTTTGGGAACAGTTTTTATTCTGGCAGAGTTTTCATTGCTTGTTTAATTTGGTTCACGGATTCTGTCCTCTTTTAATTCCCTTGTCATCCAGAATCTATTACAGGGAGCTAATGCCCTCATGGCACCATCTGGCATTATTTAATATGTAACACCATCTTATAAATCAAATTATAATTTATAATTAATCAGACAATTTGTATTTTTAATAATCAAAATCTTTATTAAGAAAAAACTGAATATATTAACGCATCACAGCATTTTAAAAAATATTTATGGTATGTGGCTTTTCTTTTTCTCTGTTTTCCTGCTTGGAGACAAAGGGTTTCATTTCAAAAGCAGTTATTAATTAAAATGCATCTTAAAATATAGTACAAGGAATTTTTCCAAAGTTTTGCAGAAATATACCAATGGTGAAATTAAAAATGTCATCCCAAATAATGGATGTTTCAATAGTTCAGAGTATAAACAGACAGCTGAACTAGAAATGGTTTTGCACTATACTTGCTGCCTATTTCAATCATTATAGATCCTGGATGGTGTTCTGCAAAGTTTGATCAGCAGTAGGAATTGTGTCCCTTAGTGTAAATATACCCAAATTTACCCTCTGGTATGTCCAGCTCTATACAATGACAAATACCGTTTATCAATTATATGCTTTCTATGCCTATTTAATATTTCGTCTTTCATATCCCACCACTGAAAAGATACAAGCTGATTGGAGTGGGAATAGAGGACCAATAGGATATGGATATTGCACTATAAAATGGAATAAAGTCACTTTTTTCCCTTCCATATAAACTATCAGACAAATACTAAATCAACGATTATTTCTGAGATAATTCATCTGGGCTTTTTAACAAAAGAGCTAAAAGCAAAAGACCAAAAATGAGAAATTACCTCCAGTATGGCACAGCCTCACCTTAAGTACTGTGTGCAGTTTTGAACACCACAATATAAGATATAAAACTATTAGAGATAGTCCAAAGGAGTGCAACAAAGGTGGTGATGGATCTAGAGGGAAGATGTATGAGGAATAGCTGTTGTCCTTGGTGTGTTCAGCCCAGAGCAGGGCAGGCTGAGGGGAGGCCTCATGGCGGCCTGCAGCTCCCTCATGAGGGGCGTGGAGGGGCAGGCACTGAGCTCTGCTCTTTGGGGACAGCAACAGGACCCAAGGGAAGCCAGGAGTTGGACTTGCCGATCTTTGTGGGTTCCTTCCAACTCAGGATATTCTGTGATTCTACAAGATAGTAATATCTGCATCATGCTGCTCCACATTACAGCATTACTCTGGGTATATATTGAGTGCATAAGAATTGCACTAACACGTGTAAATGACATAGCTAAAGATACTTATTGCCTGACTACTCAAGTGCTATAAGACTTCTAAGACGCTCAGTTTCACTTCCACCCTCAATGAACTACTGTCAGTTGCTGCAAGGCAAAGAAGGACTTTCATGAAATTAATGAGGACTACAGAAATTGTAATAGGAAGAGCAGGCACCTCTCAGCAAATCCTGCTAAACCTCTTCTGTTCAAAAAGGCCTGGGAAGGGGAGGAGCAGTGAGTAGCCAGAAGCATGCCTTAGCTCCCTTCAACAGAGCAAACTAGAGTGGACATCTGAGGTTCTCACCACACCTGTGTCACAAACCACAGCCTTAACCCCATGGGGACCCATGGTTGAACTAAGTTTAATGGTTGATATGTCTTGACAGGCATGACTGGGAGGCAGTAAATGCAAGGAAAAACAGTACAAATATGAGGAAGTGCTCTGAATCTGGCTGATGTCCCCCATCCATATCAGGTTTTATGACACCTAAGCCCAGCAACACTAACCCACATTGGAGACAGGCTCAAAATGTGCTTTTTATTTAAAGTTTTCTTCAAAGCCCAAAACCTGTTTCAAAGAGATGTTCCCAAACAGGTTTTCAAAGAAGCAATATTCACTTACTTGATGGATTTGCATGGTAGCAACAAAACTTTACAAGGGCCTTCAAACAGCACCTGGTAAGTGCTATCTTACATTAATCTTAGAAATTCTCATTTTTCATCTTTTTGTAATTCTTTGTTACTAAGATACATGAGAAACAGGAACTTTAAGGGGTGTTTAAAGTGCACTTTCCTCTGCTTCCTCTTCCCTGCCTGCAAGCGTAATCCTCTGCTTGTAATGTCACAGTTGGTGCTTGCGCACAGAGAAGATTAATTTGTCAGAAACAGAGGATTACACATTAAACAGGGGCGCAGACAGGTGAATGTGGTGTACCCCTGGGAAGGGAGCTCTGCTGGCACACAGATCTTGTCTGCCAGCTCCTCACTCGCTGAGAGTGAGAGCAGGGTTGGGATAACCAATACAGAGAAAAAGCGAAAAAGAGAGAACATAAACATTCCAGTATCGTTGATCTTTAAAAAGATACACTGAGGTTACAATGGAAAAAAACAGAAGCAATTTGTGAATGCAGGATCTCTGAGTTAATGCAGACTTAAGCTACGAAGCCCATGCTCAGAAGTACCACACAAAGATGATATTTAACTTTCCTGTGACATTGCACCATTCTTTAGTTTTACAGCAAGAGAAATCCCTCCAGTCAGCCACAAGAGGGGAGGCAGGAAGGCAGTAGTGACAGCAGCATGCCTAGGGACACCACACACCTGATCCTGCTCTACCCAGCACCAGAGGCAGAGAGAGCAGGACATGAAGGAGAGCTGTGCTGACTGCTGCTGTCACACATGATGTGAGGATGGAGAAAGCCCCAAATCCTGAGCCAGGGTGCTCCAGTTGGTTCCTTCAGCAGCAGAAAACTGCCCTCTAGACCAAGCATTGCCAGCTGGTAAATATTAATATATACTGCTGCAGATTTAGCCCTTCTGAGGAAAGAGTGCATGGAAAACTGAAGAGCTGGAGAAGTAAGATGAGTCTCACACTCAAGTGTTATTATAATTAAAGTAATATACAATAAATGTTTATGGCATTTGCAAGACATGGGCTGTCTCCTGCCTACACAGACAACAGTTAAGAAGAGAAGTGCCCTAAGTCTTCACCCCGGTTTTACATTCTGCTTTGCAAATGACTCTGAGTGACCTGCACAGCACTTTGGGGTAAAAACACGTTATCCCTGTGCAAGTCATGCTTTCATGCTTACAAGGAAAAGGCCTGGGATGTGAGATCCACAGGACCCCAAATCAAATGCTGTGAAAGGCAGCAGTTGCTAAATGGAGAGGGACCAGCAGCTGCTGCTTCTGGGAAGGACAAGGCAGGGATGGAGAGAGAACACATGGCACTTTGCTTTTTTGAGAGGCAAAATCTCCCTTCTCCTTCTTAGGTAAAGACTAAATCAGATCACATCAGGAAAAAAAAAAAAAAAAAAAAAAAAAAAACACAGCAGAAAAAGGATTTCTGTATAAAGAGAAAAGCCTCTTTCCATGCTCTGCCAGCGTAACAAGGATTTTAGCAAAGAGCCATGG